TTCCTGCTTGACTTGGCAAGAAAATAGGGAGCAAACGAAAATGTTTGAGGTGAGGAATGGAGTAACTAGTTCTATAAAAATGAATATTAATCTTTTTTTTGTTTGTCCTTTGTTCTCAAAGACAACCAATGGCATCAGGAAGTTGATGTCTTGACTTGCACATAAATCAGATTTTTGTGAGGCACAGTTATGCAAAATCATCAGCCTCACTCTCTCCTTCAGAGTCACCTGAGTCCAGTGCCAAGACAAAGTAAGATGATTAGAGATGGCTCTGGATGCGGTGAGAGACCTTTTCCTTTTTAAGCTAGGTCATTTCCAGGTGTTAATTTGTCTGGAGCAACATTCATTCAGGAATTAAGGGCTCTTTAACCTTTTAATGAGGCAAATGATGGCCTAGTTTGCCTTTACAAAAGAATCAATCTGGGAAGGGAATACCCTCAGAGTTTCTGGCCAGAACAAAAATTTGTTCTATCATATTTTTGTAAACTTGGACAATTAACTTTTTTGTTTCATGTAGTTTTCATTTATAATTTCTTGAAATATAACTCTAGAAAAACAAGCTCAAATAAAGTCCATTGGGATTCAAATGGAGCTACTTGACTATGCCTTAAAACCCAAATCACTCTGGCTCCCACTGATTGGCCAATCATAGGCCTCAGCCCAAGCCTCACTTACTTGTTGTTCTGGTTTTGATGGCTCAGAGTGAACGAACATTAATCTAGTAGTTATATAAAAGCTTTATTGGAGGGAGAAGAGATAATTTAGGAACAACAATAACCACAATAATAATGCAATATTACTATACCAACTTAATGCTTATAAAGCACTTTACACAAATTATTTCTTTTGATCCTCACAAAATCCATGTAAGGTAGATGCTATTATAATCCCTATTTTACAAATGGGGAAATTGATGCTAAGAATGGTTAAATGATTCACCCAGGGTCACTGAACTGCTAAGTATCTAATGCTTGATTTGACTCAAGTTTTCCTGATTTCCAATTGCATATTGAATCCCCTGTTCTCTCCCTTGACTCAAGAAACCTGTTAGCGGTATCCTGCCCACATTCAGGCAGAAATTAATGAAGTCCAGCATTGGGGCCCTTGTGGCTATGAAAACAGGAAAGGAAGGTAAATATTTGAGAAGTGTTGGAGGAATACACTTTGATTCTTGAAGCCATTTAGTTCTATTATTGAAAGACTCTATTGTGGCATGGGGTGATCCAAGTCTGTTGATAGGCTATGCCTATGGAGTACAAGGTCCTACCATTGGAAATATTCTTCAGATAAGAATCAGTTGATGAGCTATGTGTCTTTTGTCTAAACATTGTCATTGCCAAGTTTTGAGAGAGAATTATTGCCAGACTGACTGGGGAGAAATATGTTTTCATCCACAGCAAATAATAATTGTCATCTACATCTGTGACACTCTACCTGTGTGATAATGGTCACATGACTTGAACTTGCTAGACCTAAGTTTCATCTTCCATAAAATTAGAATTTTAAGCTAATTGACATCTGATGTTCCTTCAGCTCTATATTTGGCACATCATTGGTGCATAATAATTGCTAGCTGACCAATGAATTGGTATATGAATTTCTAAGTGTTTGAGATCTTTGATGGAGGAAGAAGCACCCTCACCAAGGAAGTAATAAATTCTTGTATTATTGAGGTCTATGAGACTGATAAATATTTTTGTCTTGCTCATAGAAGATAATTTCCAAACACTTAATACAGAGCTAGAAAATGTTGAAGTTTCTCCAAGTTTAGCATTTTGGATGACTTACATTGTATTATAGGAATCGTCTCCTAATAAAGTATTAGTTTTTCACTGTACATTTGTAAAATATATAGGGTATTTATCCTATAGCCAGCAACCTAGCGTCAAATTGTAGATCTTCCTTTATGGTATGCTAACTTTAATAAACATGTGGCTTTGTGAATTTTTAATATAGGCTTTTAATGAAAATCTGTCTTTCTAAGCTCATATACAAATCTCAGCTGGACAAGGAGATTTAACGGTAACAGCACATAATTCACAAGTGCCTGTAAATTGATTTTTCAGTCTTACCATGATGGATTTGGGCTGGATATTTGCATTATCCACAAAGCACATATTACTGTACTCCATTTATCTAAATGAAGGCTGCATTTAAAAGGATATTGTTCTATTTGAGAATGAAGCAAATGTATTTTAATTATTGGAGAAATTGATGAGCTTCCAGTAATTTCCCATTTTGTGATGCAAAATTCCTAATCTTAAGGGATTTGTTAACAATAAGCCATATTTACTAGTATAATCTTCCAGCCATTTCAGCAGATGTTACCCCTGTGAAAGGATGTGGAACGAAATGGAATTGTATGGGTAAATTACTCTAGGCTACAGCTGTAGAAAGCTCAGGCTTTGGGAAGCTAGTTACTGTGATATTACTTACTCCTTTGCAACCTCTTCAAAGATGTCAATAGTATTTAGACAATCTTCTTCTCTGCAGTCACATGTAGTTAATGTAGATAGTGTGCTGGACTGAAAAGCAAGAAGACCTGGGTTTGACTGTTGCCTCTGACACTTCCTAGCTATATGACATAAGCAGGTGACTTATCCTCTCTAAGCCTCAGCTTCATCATTTCTTAAGGTGCAATAACATTCCATTACGTTTGTGTACTAGAGTTTATTTAGCCATTTATTTCCTAACTGATAGCCAAAGTAGATTTTGTTTTCAGTTCTTTTCCAGTACAGAAAACATTGATAACATGTAGGACTGATTTTTTTTTAAATTTTGCTCTTAAATCCTCTCCTCTCTATCCAGTAACTTCCATCTCTGTTAAAACTAAAGTTAGAAAAATGTTTATGTGTACTAAGTATAAAGCTAGAACCATGATTTAATAAAATTAACGCATTACTCTTGTGCCTTCTATCTGTTTTTGAATGAATAAGAGATGACCAGAAAAAACTTTTTCTTGCTCAAATGGTATTAATTATTATGCTAGAAGGCAGTTTCATTTGAATGTAGCAGTTGACTTGCTGACTTGATTAAATCTGCAAATGTTAAAACACATTAAAACAATTGTTTTCTTGGGCTTTACATTTCTTCATAATTGATAGGAAGGAGGATTTTGCTATTATCATCAGAAGACATTTATTGAACACCTACTTACACATGTTATTTTGTTGGTACAAATGAGAGAACCAAGAGCAGCCCCAAAGGGAAGGGTCATTAATAAATAGTATCCCAATTTCTCAACATCTTATTGTATATTTTGTATGATAAACATTGCTTATTATGCAGAATGAATGTTTTTCATTTGATTCAGAATTGCTCAAGGGTTGAGACAGCAGGATAAGTCCTGTAGAAAATTTGTGCACTATTCTCTATCTTGACATCTGAACTTAATGTTTCTTATTTTGTGACATGAAGAAAAGCTGAGTGATTCAGAAAATAGAAATGGTGTGCCTTTGATCAAAAGTCATCACCATAGAAGACTGTTGTTTCAGAGCTTATATGAAATTATAAAGGGCCTTCAGTTCAGTATTTAATCCATGGGATTTGACTTCAAAACTGACACTTCTCTTACTTTGTTTATTAGTGTTTTGGAAGGGGAAAAAAAAAGACTAGGAATGAAGTGAAGTGCATGGGAATGGAGAAGGGCATGGTGGGAGAAAAGATTGAATTATCGGTTATGTATAAAGCTGAACCCTTCAGGTCAAGATTGCTATAATATGGGATCTTAGACATTAATGGTCTGAACTCTGTATCTCCTTAGATGGAAAAGTCTTCAGTTTCTTAGACTCAACATATCTTTCTTTTGCTTAACAGGCAAATCAGACAGATAAAAAAAACATTATACAGAAAGGATGATGTTGGGTTATAATTTGAATTCTCAAAAATGAGTACAACTAAAGTTCATATGATATTTATTATTTTGCCTGGGAAAATAATGGAGCCTAAGCTAGTTTTTTTTGTGTTTTTAAAATAGCTGAGTGAAAAAAAAAAGTCTTTCTTATTTATTAAAGTATTATCTTGGGAATTGTTATCATAGAATACTTCTTTCTTGCCAAGGAATAGTAAAGCAACTGCTTGGCACTTACGTTAGGAAAATAGACAGCTTTGTGCTTCATTTTCTGAGGATAGACCTCTGCTTCACTTTTTCTTTTCTTTTTTAGCAGTATACTGTAGAAAAGTGCTGATACTATTGAACTTCTGGTTGCAGTTGACAGTAGATGTCATTTTAAAGAAACAAAAGTAAATCCACTCTGTGGTGTACACTTCAGATGTCCAAATTTCACTGGATGAAATTAAATGGTTGAGTCCTAGATTTAACTCTTGCTCTGACCCTTATTCTATCTTTCATTACATGACTTTGTGTTTTTCTGACCTCTGTTCTCTTCATTTGTCAAATGAAAGAAAGAATATCTGCATCATCTGTTTCTTAAGATTGTTGTGAATAAAGTGCCTTTTAACCATCAGAGTAGTTAATGTGAAATAATAATAATAATAATAATGACACAACAACAACAACAGTAACACCAACACTGTTCAATTCTGGCTTTAGCATCTTCAAGAGGACATTTGAAGTAGGGAAAGTTGCATGCCAGAATGTCATAAAAATATGATCTAACTCAGATGCCTTATGTTGGTGTAGTAGAATAGGTAGGTCATGCTAGAGGATCCTGAATTTAAAAGGGCTGTGTGTGTTTGTGTTTTAGGACTTAGACATGTGAATTCATTGATGCAGAGAAATTCCAGAGAAATTCTTTGACCAATGAAGATCAGGAGAGTATCATTTGTGGATAGAATTGTGAAGTGTACAATTTCTAGTCTTAAAGAGGAGCCTGAAATACTGTGATTTTAAATTATATGCCCTGGATCACTCAGACTATGAATCAGAAACATATGGTAATAAATACCAAGGTTTTAATCATTTAGAGATCCAATACAGTGTATTACTTTGAATATTTTAAGGGTTTGCTAATATTTTTCTTATTTTTTTTTCCTTTCAGGCATTTCCAGGAAATATAAACTCTGATGGTGTGGTCCGCCATGATTTGCAGCATCCAGTCATTGCCCGATATGTACGCATAGTGCCTTTAGACTGGAATGAAGAAGGGCGGATAGGGCTAAGAATTGAAGTCTATGGCTGTTCTTATTGTGAGTAGTACATATTTTAAATCTTTCATGGTATCTTTTTTTTTTCAGTGTTATTAGAATGTATAGTTCATTTATTATCTCCTTTATTATCAGACTTTGCTTTGTATGTCAATAAACTAACTTTTGCAGTTAGGTGTACATGTAAAAACAACAACAACAACAACAACAACAACAACAACAACAGCAATAGTACATTCAACCAAGACTTTAAATATGATTTTAATATATGAATGTAATTTAAACATACAGATTATGTTGCCTTAAAGTCTTATGAAATATTCAGAGTAGAGGAAACCTAACTGCTGCATTGATAAATTTTCCTTGGGAGTTACTTCTTACAGGTCCAGAAAAGTTTTCTTTCAAAGTCATTCTTTTGGCTACTTATGAAGTTGTTACTGTAAAGGAATGTAGCTGGGCCTATATCCCCACATCAGACCACAGCATACATCAGACGAAGACAGAAATATCTTTTTAAATTCATTTTCCAAACATAATCTAATCAGTCTGCGAAGCCAGACTATTATGCTTAGGTTCCTTCCACCCTGCATAACCACATAAGTTAGAAGTATATTTCAATGCAATCCCATTGCTTTGTGTAGGTGAGACTTTTGAAAGAGATCATATGGCTTTCTCACTTCAAATAGAGCACCTTATACAAAATAAAAATTCAAAATTCAGAGTGGAAATTCTGCTTCAATTTTGGATATGTTGATTTTCAGAAACCTTGTAGGGATCCAGGCAGATATGTCTAGCTAGCAGGTAGAGATACAAATCTACTATGACACATAGTAAAATATTTACCACCAACAATTGGCTCTTTATAAACAATCAAAACAAAAAGAAAAGAGATTTGTGCAGTAATATGCAAAATATAAAAAATACTTCTTCAGATGATTTATCAACTCAAGTATCCTTTCCACTGTTATGTGCCAATGCCCCATTTTACCTTACTTATACCTTAGCTTCATAAATTATGAATAGAAAAAAAATTCACCATCAACTTGTGGCCAAGTTGTTTGTTTGGTTTTTTTCTGATTAGCTTCTCCAAACTTAGCTAATTTGAACCTGAGATAATAGCCTTTCAGTTACTATGAAAAGCTGAGTTTTCTTTTCAGGCTTGGGAGAAACACCTAGAGTTTATGCTCTACTTGAAAAAATTCCAAGAACCCAAGGACACTCTCACATTTTTATGTGGCATTGAAAGATTGAAGGCAAAAGGAAAAGGGGATGACAGAGAATGAAATGGGTTGTATCATGGAAACAATGAACATGAACTTGGACAGACTTCAAGAGAGAGTGGAGGATAGAAGGGCCTGGCATGCAATGGTTCATGGGATCACAAAGACTCAGACACAACCGAACAACAAAATTGCAGTAAAACACCAGTGGATAAAAATATGATGCACTAATGACAAAATAATTTTAAGCAGATGATGTAAAACCACTTGCTTGACAGTTGGCACTGAAAGAAGAAAAATGTCTGTCAGGAAAATAAATGTATTAAAACATAAAGCAAATAAAAAAATGTTCTTCACAGAATAAGTGAATGGATAAATGGTTAATATATTTGCAATAGAGATGCTTATCACATGGTTACTTGGAGTTGTTTTGAATTTATATAAATATTTGATTTGAGGCCTTCATTCGGTATAATTCTGGGGCTTTTCTTTACTCCCTACTGAAAATATTAGTTATATATTCAAACGGATATGACAATATATACCACTAGTTAAGGGAAAGCTTTAGTAATCCTAGCTGTTCAATAATAGATTGTCTCAATGCAACCCATGATGCCTGTATTTAAATATTTTACAATGTGATTGGTAGAACAAGGTTAAAATACATAAAGAAAGTAGAACACAACATAAGTAAGACCATAATTAAGTACTAAATGACAAATAATAGAGTGTATGCAGAGTATCATCCTATCTACTTTGTAGTACCATGAATTTAAAAACAATTTTATTAATCATCACTATCCAATAAAGGAATGGATTGCACAATGAGTAGTGAGCTCCCTAAACTTGAAAGTGTTTGAAGAGAAATTGGAGTGTGAGATTAGCATTTGCGTTAAAAAGAATCTTACTTTAAATGGAAGGTTAGGCCAGATGATGTTTAATGTCCCTTCCAGTTCAGTTCTGTGAATTAGCAGAAGGAACAGTTTCATAAGAAATTGTTTAATGATAGAGAGTATGCATGAATTATTGTCTAACAAAGAAGAGGATTCAAATCTTGCTTCTGTCACTTGCTAGCTGTGTTTCCATGAGAAAGTCACTGGAACTTTCTGATCCAAAGTTTCTTCGTCTTTAGACTTTTTTTGGTGTTGAGTTGTTTCAGTTATATCTGACTCTCTTTGACCTTGTTGGGGGTTTTCTTGGAAAAGATACTGAAATGGTTTGCCATTTCCTTCTCTAGTTGGTTTTACAGGTGAGGAAACTGAGGCAAATAGGGTGAAATGACTTTCCCAAGGGAACACAGCTAGTAAGTGTATGAGGCCAGATTTGGACTCAGGAACATGAGCCTTTCTAATTTCAAACCCAGTGCTCTATTCACTGTGCCTTTTGCCTCGAATCCTACTGGAAAGTTAATTCCTCCCACTGTGGTTCTTTGATTAATGATTGGTAAATCAAGAAGCAAAGTTAGAAAATATAAAATCTTAATTAGCTTCATTTTGTAGTCAGTAGCCTGGTAGACAGCAACTCCAAAGAACAACAGAAGATATACACATATACGTAGACTTACATAGACTTAGGACCACATCACAAGTGGCGAACCGAACCTAGCCATTGTCCTTATTTGGAGGATTGAGGAACAGGGACAAGACATCAGTTCATTTGGAAGGAGAATGTTTTAACCTTGGCATTGTTGCTTGTTAGTTTTGTTATCATAAGGAGTTGCCAAAAATGAGGTTTATTCTGGTAGAGATGGTTCCTCATTGGTTAATCATGTCAAACCATTTAATTTGGAAAGAAGATCTCCAAGACAGCAGAGGCCTCCTTATATGGAGAATTTGGGGGCTTATTCTACTGTTGAATAAAATACAGACTGAGAAGTTATTTGTACAAGTCTGTAGCTTCCTTTCTTTGAACTCTAAGGTTACTTTTTTGAGATGTTTCTCCCAAATTCACAGCACACTGATTTTTTATCTATTTCCTTTACAACTTCCTCTTATATGATTAAAATAGTTTGATTCTTGAAGCATAAAAACATAAAATACAAGATTTCTTTTAATATATCTTAAATTAATACCTAGATCTGGATAAAAAGTCAGGGGGAAAACCTGCAAATAAATGCACGTTAGTTCTTAGTATAATTAAATACAACAAGCAGTTATTAAATACTTAATCTGTACAGAGCAATTGATTAGGTAGTGGGAAAGACTAAAGGCATAGATAAGATGCAGTCCTTGCTCTCAAAGAATGCACAAACTTATGGGTTATTTTAAAAGGCACATAGCTAAAATGCATCATATGTCTTAAGTATGTTACAAAGTCCAAAACAATGTTCTCTTTCAGGTCGAAGAGGGAAGGTTAATACTGATTAGGGGATGAAGGAAAGTTTCATGCAAGATGGGACATTTGAATTTGTCTTTAAATCATAGGAAAGAAATTAGCAAGGAAGAAGAAAATGGAGGTCATTCTAGTTATAGGGAAAAGTAACAGCAAAAGCAAAGAAGGACCAGAGGCCATTGTGAGTTTTGGGGAAAGAAGGAAGCCCAGTTGAACTGCAGTATGTATGAAAGCTAAAACTGGAAATGTAGAGTAGTACCAGAATGTGGAGAGCTTTGAATGTCTACCTGAGAAGTCTCAACTATACTGGGAAGACAATAGGGAGCTGGTAAAGATTTTTGAGCAGGCATGTCACTTCAATATATTTGAATACTTGTGCTCTTGATTAATTATACATCTAGTAGTGGTATGAAAGGTGGAGAGTGGAGATCAGAGGAAATGTATAAGTAGTTTATTTTTATAAACTAGCTAGTAGTAACTAGCTATTGGCATTGGACATAGAGAAAGGGGGATAAATGAAAGAGATGTAATAAAGAAGAATTTGTGTGTGTGTGTGTGTGTGTGTGTGTGTGTGTGTTTGTGTGTGTGGGGAACTTACTTCTGTAGCCACAAATATTTCAAAAGAAATTCTGCAGAAAAAGAAGACAGAATGACTTAAATAGCTGAATATGAGAGAAAATAGTTAAATGTGAGGAGTCAGTCACAGTCTGTTTTCAAAAGTAGGAGATAAAAATATACTCTTGTTACTTTCATCCTGCTGCTGCTTAGCTGAGATGTAAGATGTGTCTCCTATCAAAATATATCATTAGAGGTGGTGTCAGGGAAGGGAAAAATAGTTTAAATTGTGTTTTCAAGGTTATTTCCATATAAATTAAACAAAACAGATCAATGAGAATGTCATAAAATAAAAGTCACCTTGACATTGATATTGAGATTGATAGATGTACTCAAAGCCAGAAAGACTTAAGTTCAAGCTCTGTCATATCTTAGCTATTAACTCTGGGCAAATCACTGAATTTTGCACTACTCTAAGTAACTCCTCAAGACCTTAAGCTGGGAACCAAAATTGATAGAAGGAGCTCTCTCACCTGTCAGTTCTCTATACCAGTGACATCACAGGCCCAGTAAATATTTTTATGATAAAGTAATTTCACTCTCCTTAAGAAATGTTCATGAAAGGAAAAGGTATATTAATCTAAACTATTTAGATTTGGGGGCATACCGCTCAAATTCATTTCATTATTTCTCAGAACTCTATTTTGCCCTTATGAAAAAAGCTATGATTTACTTATATATGGTTTTCCACTTTCTTGTGCTACTTTTGGTTAAGAGTTATTGAAACCTTCATTGGAATTGAAGATTATCTTGTGGCAAAATATTATCTATTGCTGAAAAGGAGAATTAAGCATACCATTTGGACCCCTGCTTTTTACCAGAGTTGATAATCTGTTTGTGCCACTCTGGGAGACAGAAGTGGAGAGATACTAGCTG